GAAGGGCTAACGCTCGAAACGTCAGCTTTTGTAATCATTACGGTGGCCAATTTACCATTTCAACTTTGTTGATATATCGAAATTATTTCGTTACTCCCACCGACGCAGCCCCAAACAGTTTCTTTTGAAACTATCAGCCTTTATAATTGTAAGAGACTAATAAAAGGGGTAAGTTTCCCAAAAAACTGTGGTGCTGCATCGTTGGGGGGTATTATAAGATACTGTAAATTGATTTAAATCAACTGAGTTGATAAATATAAATTGACCATCACAAAGAGATTCTAAAGCGTGTGTTTATGGTGTTAAAGCCCATATCCAGATGGAATGGGTTAACTGAGGGAGGGCTAACACTTGAAATGCCAGCTTTATAATCATAACAGATCAATCTAGGGTTTTTGTCATGACAAAAGAAAAAAATTGCAATGCCTTCTTGCAAAGCTCTATTCAGGCAGAAACTTCAAAGAAACAAACTAGTCTTTTAGTTCATGTATTCTGACTCTTTGCTTAGATAAATACAGTCTTACATGAGATAAAATCCCATTTTGCTATTATCCTAAATATTTCATTGAAATATAATTTTACCAATCACTCCATAGCAAGCAGCTTTGTTTATCCTCATGCATGGCGCTAATTGTCAAATTCTCAGCTCCAAACTGATCACGTTAGTTACGTCAACATAAATACAAATATCCACAGCTTATGATATCATGCAGCGCAGACAAGCTTATCAGCTACAAAGCTACTTTGATTAATTAGTTTAACCAATTTTTGTGAGTAGAAGTTACAAGCTAACCATAACTAGTGGTTAGGGAGCTAAACTTCACCAACAACCTGTGTATTATACATGGTAACGCCAGATAACCGGGTTCAAAGTACTACTGTAACACATATTGCAACGTTTATTTAAGTTAGCCTCACTATTTAGGAACGAACCGGGAAAATCCAGATTTTGGATAAATCAAATATTCGCAAAGGTGTAGATAAATTAGTGACCACTATTTTACATTCAAGGTCCAAGGTTACCTGGAGAATTTCCATTTCGTTAAGCAACAAAAAGCTCTTCGGCGCTTGGGAAATGTCTTCTCTAACTCTTGATGTTGCAGTGGGTTCATTTTTCCTTTCCTTAAAAAAAAGAGGTTAAATAAAAAATTTAATTCAAGAAATGATAAAAATCGGATGAAATTCAATTTTTTATTGTTTCAAAATCACAAAAAACAGCTGTTGCGGTACGATGCAGGTATGAAAAATTGCTGGATCCGGATCAAAACAATTCAATTAATGGTGATCAAAATTCGTCACCGTCTTCGAAAGTATTAGCTTACCTTGCCACTTCGAGCGGAGGATTTTGTTACAGGATGGTTCATAAGCATAACTTCATCTAGATCATCGTCATCGGGTAAAGTGGCAGCCATATCTTTGGTCACTTTCATGAAGGAACTGTTCAAGAAGAGCAATCAAAGCACTCGAAAAGTGCTGAGTCGATGAAAAGATCTGGGGACGACAACAGACTTGGTAGCCAAGTTTCTATCCCACGATGCATTTAGCTGGTTGACGCCTCGTAACCTAGCCTTCTTCTGAATGTTCTCGAGTGCAAACATGGGGAAATCGAAGGAAGGCAACGACTCGAAACGCAAAAGAAAACGCGTCGCAGTGGAATCAAGCAGCGACGATGATGAGAGTGAACAAGACTTAGAGGAGGTGATCCAGAATTTTGCAGATATCTGAATTGTTTACCGTGTGTTCAAGTGTTGGTGACATGGAGAGTTGTTGTTGATTTCAGGAATTGAAGTCACTCGCTAAGCGTTCGAGACCAGCGAATGATAATAACTCCAAGCCACAGCGATCCGGAGATTCAGACAGCGACTTGGACTCATCGGAGGGAAGTGATGACGAGGTAAACTATGGCAGGATTCGAATGCACAACGTTTTCATTTCGTTTTGACCGCCTCTCGGTTAGCTCAATGGATAGAGCGCTGGACTGTTGTGCGGGAGGTCGAGGGTTCGAGCCCCGGCCGGACCAACACTCAGGGTCTTAAAATAATTGAGAAGAATTTGCTGCCTTTCTATAACATCAAAAAATGGTTAGATATTGTAGTCTTCTCGGATAGG